AACAAACATTTGTATGTGCTCTTGTTTATGCGAAGGTAACATTGATGAAGAATTATATTCAGTGATTTAGATTTGAAATGCCAACCAAGATTGTTATTGTATCTCTTAATTTGGAGTAATATCATTATACAGTCAAACCTGTCTATAGCGACCGCCCAAGGGAAACACAAAAAGTGGTCTTTGTAGACAGGTTCCTTTAGTTCATGTTTCAATGAGAAACTATTTTCAAGGGAAATAACAAATGTCGTCTTTGTAGACAGGCGGTCACTAAAGCAGGTTTGACTGTAGCATGTTCCTGGTTAGAGTCTTGTGATCTTATCATTAAAATCAGCTCAAACGTCATAGTTTACTCTTAAGTTTTAAATAAAGAGTATGTTTATGCAAAGGAACTTGATATTTGTATAAAATTTCCACCCAAAAGCCAAATAATTCAATTTTTATATACCATTAAACATTGGAGAAGCTACCTTCGCATGTACATCTATGACCCCTACCAATCGAGTCCTATTTCCAAGTGTTTGTTTAGAGGCATGGAATCATTTTATGTAAGCCATTTATATAGACATTAATTGTATAGTGAAAGTGAGAAAAGTTATCATTAAATATATGTATCAAATTTGCATCATGTATGTGTTTCTCTTCTTTCGTGTCTTATTTTATAATCCATGTTAATGATACAAGGTGTAAGGGGAACAAGTGACTGAAAGTTTTGTGATATGCCTACAGTATGTAATAAATGTGTATGTATTGGGGAAGTTATCTTCCCATATGTAACAAAATGTACACAAACTTATGGTATACCTGATGATTGTATTAAATTGATAACCCTTTAAAGTGTCAGGTTATTGGGGGAGGGGGTTTGATGCAACACTGACCTGTCCCCACTCCCCCCCCCCCTTCAACATTTAAACCCTATGTGGCATATCTTACAAAAAAGGAGAAAAAATGTTCCCTTTCAAATATTAGAGCCCAAAGATAGCCATATTTCTTGCTTATCAGAAGAAAAAAAATCTTTTGCTTTCAAAAAGAATCGTCCCCCCCCCCCCCCATCTTTGAACTGCCCTCGATCGATCGCTATGGATCTTAAAGCCAGTAAAAATCAAATAAACAATACAATACTACCATTACACATTGGATGTAAGTTACATATATAATTTGACTATTGCCATTTAAATCACATTGTTAGTCGGGGGAAGAGATGTGGACACAGCCTTGGACCCCAAAATGTAGTAATATCATTGCCATACATTTGCCCTGCAATTTGTATCAGACTAAACAAAAAGTAACACTTTATTTCCTCTTACAAAGCAGATCCACAGTACCTGCCTGAAGGGAAACTGTATTTTCCAATGAACTGACCATTTCCGGAGTTCTAGAAAGTGTAAACATCCACAACAAGGAAATAGGACAGGAAATGGAAAAGTAAATAAAGGATGTGTACCAATGATCATGCTATTGTTCCTCTTTCACTTAAGATTGTGTGAAGTGTCCCTCTTTAATAATAGCTTACATGAAGCAAGGGAAATATTTATAGACCTATTGTACTTGACTCACCGTTGCACAAAATAGCACGGAGAACAAAAATAAAGGAGAGAGATTTGAGGATATTCCTATGGCTGGCCTCGGCTGTGAATCAACGACTTTGTGCGTATTAGTCACATTACCTTGGCCAGGCAGGCAGGCACAGCATGTGAAGGCATTGTCAGGATTTCCTCAAGATAGGGGAGGGGGGGGGGGGGGGGGGAGGGGGGGGGGGGTGAGGGGCAGACAGGGTAGGCATGATCTAATCAGTTGTAGGGGCACGTTTCTAAAAATGGCCACAACCCTATAACCCTATACCGGTACCTTATAATAATAATGAATATTGGATATTTATATAGCACACATATCCACCATGCGGGGTGCTCAAGGCGCTCCAACACAAGGTAACGGACTACATGCAGATTTAATTAGCTACCTTATCTAAATTATGTTGTGATGGCTATTTTTAGAAACTTGTGAATTAAGGCATATCCAGTATTTCATCAATGAGGGGGGGGGGGGGGTAATCTGTATCACTAAAGCTACAGAATGTAATTCAAGATTGTAATCAGTAGCTTCTTGCCCTTAATTCTTCTCTTCTACTTTGACCTTTGTCTCTATAGTTGCATAATACATTCCTTAAAGTATTTCTAGGAAAAAAAATGATGAGCATTGATTTATTATAATTTACATTTGTTTCTATCACACAAGACCCAACGATTTTGATAAGCCAACCCCCTTCCCCTCCTCCCCTTGGAAGAACTACTGTAATTACCCCTATACTTGCTTCTCTTATGGCTACATGAGTAACATATGACATGCAACAACTCCTAGAATCTTCACATTCCCAAATGATGACAGTTTTTTCCCTCCAGGAATAGCAATCCTAGAGCTTTGCAAATACCATCAGCATAAAAAACAAAACTCACAATAGCACTACACTGCACACAGGACAATCAAATATTAAATCAGACTTTAACCAATTAATTCGCAGAAAAGAACACTACCATACTGGTGAGTTTGATATCTGGCAGCCTTAAAAATCATTTAATGGAATGTCTAATCATTTAAGTAAATAACTACACCAGTGCTACATAACATTTTGTTAATCTGTTTCTTTTACAGTCTTTAATATTTTTTATGTTTATTCAGATATTTCATCACTTGAATAAAAAAATGTAATTTTCAAAAACAAAAGAGATGTATAGAATGGGACATTAATTGTTTAATTTTCTTTTGTTTTCGTACTCATAATTCATTATGTGTTGTATCTTGCTATTCTGCGTTGTTTATTTATGTAACATCACATGGATCAGAAAAAAAGACCTTTGAGTTATAGTTTTTTCTTTCCCTGGCATCCATTTGACTCTTTTCAAAGCTTATATACTGCTGTTTTGTATTCACATTTCAATTGATTTTGTCTTTGTCAAATAAAAACTAATAACTTAAAGGTACATAATATGAGAGTGGGCAAAATGACCAAGTTGGGTTTTCTTCTGATGTTGATTTCTTTCCTTTTAAAATATATTTTTGCATTTGGTATTTCAATAATGACCACAAAACAAGAAAACATTTCTTCCCCGATATGGAATTGTCCATTCAAACAAGCGATGACATTGTTAGCTTAAACATGTGTCAACTACAAAAGAACTCAAACATAAACAATCTTTCAAACAGGTCAGTCCTTTAACACCTTTAATTTTAAATTTTGAAACAAGATTTATTTCGTTCTCCTTTCTCTGAAATATGAGCTTCAAATTTTTGTACAAATAATGATGATAATAATAGTTTGTTCTTTCAGAGTTCACTTCAGGACCGCAGGCCCTTTCAAAGTGCTTTATAGATATATCATTACCCCGGTTGTCGGATTCAAAAAAAAATATTGCAGTTTAAATACATTCCTAGTTAACTGTAAAATGCCTTGTTGAGTACACTAACATACATGTATGCACTCGCATACTATAGGGTGTGCACAGGACCCAAGTCAGACTGGGGTTCCCTGCCCTTTACGCAGGGTTTTATATTATTCTTCATCTTCATACTTCTTAACCGTTTACCTACATAATGCCAGTCAGCAAAGCTTTTTGAGGTTGATTTTATACATTCTACCGTAATGTAAATTACTTTTTTCAGGTGACTGATACACTTTAAACAAAATGAATTTGTTGAAACCTAACAATTACCTATTACTCCAGAGTTAATTTCTTTTTAAAATACTTGAATGAAATATGCGATTTTTTTTTTATGCGATTGATATTTTCAATCATGTACCATATGATACTAAAACATAAGAGAACAATTTTTTTCTCAAAATTATATACACTGTTTGTTGACAATTTATATATTCATATGTTTGGTATGTTCACAAAACTATATATTAGTTGATTATCAATTATTTATATAATTTGTATAGTATGTTCCTAAAATGTTAATGAACAAGACACGTGACCAATAAAATCACATTAAAAAAAACACACCGAAAGAGCATACAATCAAACAAAGATAGACAGGTAGTTAATACTCAATATTAAAAGTAAACTGAGTTACGTACATAAACTGTATGTTAAAAGACCACTTGCATGAGATGATGTAAATCAAAATCTCCAAGTACTGAGAAGTAGCCTTTGGGCTAACAAGGGCAGGAACCCGCAGCAACTGCATCAAGATGGTTATGGCTTGTACTACATTATTGCATATTTTTACAAGATCCTTATTGTGAATTCAGTGCATCATTTTATATGGAGTGGCTTATAGTCACTTGTGTGTGAATCTTCAAGGTGATTTTGTGGCTGAAGCAAGAGCTTGGAACTAAAAAGAACTGAGTTTGCAGTTAAAACAAGGTATATAGATAAACATGTACAATTTAATATGTTTTAAAAAAACTACTTACAGCAAAAATATCGTCTTTACGGTATGCATTTGCGCTGCGTTATGACATCAATAGGATTTTAAAGGGACTATGTCCCATTTGCAGGCCCAAAAAATGAAAAAGTTAAATTCCAACTGCATTTGAAAGATAATACTAATTTAGAACTTTCCTAAAAAAGGTGGGGGCTTGGAAATGTCTTCAAGTGGGAAAATAACGACTATTAGTTGTCAAATCGACTTTAGGGCTATAGAGCCCAAAAGTAATAGTCTTGATTTTCAGACAATTGTACCGATTGGTCATACGTTTTATGATGCGCAAAGATTCAATCAGTTTAATCTTGGCCATCACAAGAAGTGGGTTATTGATGTAGACAAATACTCATGTACCCTTTACAACTCTTTTCATGTATGTTATTACCAAAGAAGAAAAAAAGCCAGTCAGTCACTCAATAGTGTCTGACAGTGAAGTCTAGCAAGTAAACGATTTTCCTTGCATAATTTGAATATGAGGACACTGCTAACGTTTAAATTTCACAGATAGGACATATATGACATATTCATAATTCCTGCAAAGTTCTACAGCATTTGAGGTTGGCTGCAAAAGGGACATAGTACCTTTAATAGGTGAAAGGAAGGCCGGTTGAAAAATACTAATTTTGATGGTAAAATACTAATTTTGGAGGTGCTGAGTACTAATTTGTACTTCCAAAGGTTGGCAGCTCTGTTATGCAGGCAGCTGGATTCTGTGAGAGATGGTTTGTCAAACATGTGGGACATAACAGGTTTGTCCCCATGCAGTATCCTGTAGTTTTGTCTGATGACAGATGAGATCCGTCGATTTGTGGTATTGAACATGAAGACAGGAGGGAAAGAAGATATAAAACTTTTCCTTCTTTACTTTTAAAGCCCCACCACACTAGTTGGCAAGGAGGGATTGGACCTCCCTGCAAGGTCACTGACCGGTGGTTATCTCATCAAATACAAGTTCTTTAATTATATTTATGTTCCTACGAATAAATTGTATTGTTTGAACAGATGTCAAATATGTTGTCCAATTGAATGGAAGAAAATAAAAGTTCATTTGAATTTAATTGAATTGAAATAAGCTCTCAATTAACATAAGAAAAAGAGGATTATGGGGGATCAATGGTCATCGATTAGGAAATGTTTGCTATATAGAGGGCGCAAGTAGCTATTAGTAGTGCAGTGGGGCTTTAAAGCCTCTTTATAGTGATGGCAGTCAGCAGTGTTCTTGGCAACATTCTCTATGATATGGCTAGGGTTTACACGATGGACGCAGAATGACAACATCTCGGTATGACAGACCTAAAATACACCCTCCCTTATACCGCATAATCTCCTAAGTGGAGTAACCCGAGAGAGGGGGATAGCTCTCCTCCGCACAACTGGAGGAGAGGATTGGAAAGTGAGATAGCTACACGTATGTGCATCAAAAGGATGCAAGTTGTCTCCTGTGAGTGAACTGTAGTGCTGGCGGGCTGGAATATTTCCAGAGAGGCCTTTTGACCATCCATATATATATAGCATCTCTGTACATAGCATTTCAAAATCATTGCAATAAGAATCTTACAGCAAACATATATTATCTGTTGCATATATATATATAAACTCTTTTCTCTGTATAAAAATGCACTTGTATAAGCTATGCTACGTGAGGCCACTGACGGCCTTCTTAAACTCCTCCTGGGCACTCTTGAGCAAGTTAGTGTTAGGATCCATCACATCTATACCAGTCATAGCTATGGCCTTGGCTTGGATCAGGGTGGGTGATTGTGCTTCAAGCATACCTGCAATCAAATCAAACATAAATTATCGTTGATATACCGGTATGCACGATGTATATGGTAAGGGGTGAGGTAAATCAATGCCTCAACACATTAATTAATTATGAGAAAAATCAGTTATATTTAATGATTTTTACCACAAGGATAATTTAAACTGCATTTGTTTAAAACTTAAACATATAAATCACCAGCCACCCTGGTAAACCACAGCAGTTTCCTAGTGTATCAAAGTGTACTCCACTTCATATTCCTTGTATCTTACAACATAAAGATATAGCAAGTACCTGTAGGACCTTTGTAGCACATCTCCTCTTTTCCCTACTTGCCTTTCATTAAGTAAATAAAAAGACACTGGTTTAACCAAGGGATGAGTGAACAAGTCTTTAAAGACAAAGGGCACAAACAGGAGACCTGACACAATTGACTTTTGTCACACATACAGTTTATATATACTCAGAAATCCATAGTGGATAGCGAGTTGAACAAGACCTAGTCTTGAATATCGCTAGTGATATTTGTTTGTCTCGCAACGTGGTCAATAAGGGATCTAAAAGATCACAACGTTTCGTGCGCCGCTGCAACACTTCGTCAGGTGATAGAAACTAATGTAAACAAGCGTGTTTTATACTCTACGGGAGGACCGGCGCAGCGGTCAATAAATTGATTGATAATTGGAACAATAACGTACAAGGTCTATTGGCCGACGCACACGGTGCTCGACCAATCAGCAGGCCACTGTTTGGAACAGAATACCCAACAGGAGTTATAAGGATATCAGTACATACCTGCCCATTTGGTGAAACCAGGCGTGTGAGTGCCTGCATCTGTAGGGATGCCAAACTTGGGGTGTATGCTGGGAAGGACATAGGAGACGTTACCCATGTCCGTGGAACCTCCCTTCTCCCCTCTCCTCTCGGAAGGGTAGCTGAATCCCAAGATCTCTGCATGTCTCTCAAAGGATAACGAAAGGGCATCGTTGTGAATCATGTTGGCGTAGTTGCACCCACTTTTACACTCTACCTAGACAAATCAGAGAGAAAGAGGGGAGAACGAGAATAAAAGGGCTCTCTAATGATCATCTACGGTCTTTTTTTTCTTCTCTTTTGTTGTTGTTGTCTCTCTTGAACAGAGCTACTTGTCGAAATATTACTCATACCTGCCAACCTTTTGCAGCAGAAGTTAGTTACCTCCGAAGGCAATATTAGGAATGTATGCTATCCTGTATAGATATATTACACATCAGTTTTCAGAAAGAGAGATGAATCTAGGGTTCATAACATTAGTTTAAAAGAAAAACAAACAAAGCAGGATCATCCTCTCAAAGTAGGAATGGTTGGCAGCTACGTCTAGAAAAAAGGGATTAAACTCTCTCTCCTCTCCTCTCAGAACAGAACAGTAGATAATTTCCATGCCACGTACTGCATGAAACTTTACTTTAAAAAAAAAACACCTTACTTTTATGAACATCACATATAATCGTTCACTAATTGCACAATGCTTCTTCTCATGCTACATGGTTTTGTCCCAATACCATGAGAAATATAATCAATACCCAAAATGGCTTTTTGCAGGGAATTTTCAAGGTTGGATTCGAATTAGTACACAGTTCACCGTTTGTAAGAACCCTATACACAGTTCTCGTTGCAACTTTTATCATACCTCACACCCTGTTGCTACAGCTGCACCCTTAGCACAGCCGATGACCTTTGACCGGAGGACGTCTAGCTGCTTACTGTTAGGAGCTCTCAGGTAGTACAAGAGTTCCGCTTCTTCAGGAATGATGTTAGGCCTAGCACCACCATTAGTAAAGACACCTGAATGATAGAGATTTAGGGTGTGAAGTGATCGACCTATGACCTTTAACCGCTTATGAATTATTAGGAGCTCTCAGGTAGTACAAGAGTTCTGCTTCTTCAGGATTGATAACGGGCTTGGCATTACATTCTGTGAAGATTTCCAGAATATCTATGGACCTATGACCTGTAACCCCTAAAAACCAAATCTCTGCTCCATGTGATGATGATGATGATGATGTGATGGTTATTTTACCCGACTGCTAAGAAAGCATTAATGCTTATAAGTAAGCAACCAGACGGTCGACGGCTTTAGGTCTTCTCCGAGGGACCTGGCAATGAGGATTACTGCCTTACCAGAGGTCATTTATCTTGTTGAATCACAGCCCAAGATAAATTGAGCTAGAATCTATGGCATGAGTGCGTATATGTCATACTAAAATCAAATCATATCCAACTGGTCAAACTAGAGCAATATTTGAGGTATGGTAATTAATCTCTCTGAGCCCCTTAAGGTCATTCGTCTCTTGGATAAAACCCTGGATTATGCACAAGGTATACAGATATTACTTACCATGAACTCTCCATTCTGGTTTGAGCTGTTGTCTCATGACTGAGATACTAGTATAACACATTACAGCTGCATCCAAGGCGTTCACTCCTTCCCAGGGAACTGCAGAGGCATGGGAAGCAAGACCAGTGAAGTGAATTTTTATTCTGGAAAAAAATAACCCAAACAAATATATGTATACAAAGATGGTTGACAGCTGGAGTAAAGAAATGGGAGTGGAGATTGTGCACACATTGGCCCGAATTCACAAAGGAGGTTTGTCGACAAACCTTGGTTTTCGTACGTCATATGACGCGTTTTACACGTTTTTTACAAACCTGGTTTGTAAAGAACAAAAGGAGGTTTGGCGAAACAAAAGGAGGTTTGAGCTCAAACCTTGTTTTGTGAATTCGGGCCATTGTGTGCGGGCAAGTATTGAATCCAATGATCGGGGTAATAATATATCTGTAAAGCGCTAAGAGACATCATAGATTATAATATATTCATATTTGTCTTGCAATGTATCTTTGTATTTTATCAACATGTACATAATTGTTTTCCCTCTCTGTCCATCTGTCCCCTCTCTCCCTCTCTCTCTCTCTCTTTCTCTTTCTCTCTTTCTTTCTCTCTCTCTCCTGCTTTCCCATCTCTCTTTCTTTTTAACTCAAATTTTTAAATTGAAATATTGTATAAGATTAATGGTAGATAGTATATACACGCTCTTCATAATTATGTAGATTGTAGTGTGACATCTTGAAATGTATACTTGTTTTTTTTCCAGCAATTTACTCATGTGCAATTCAGTTACTTTTTACTGTGATATCACTTGAAATGTATAATTGTATTCACCATCAATGTTTTATTCATGCACAATTCAGTTACTTGTAACTGCGATACATGGAAATGAATCAATAAATACTATTTATCTATCTATCTATCTAGATGTATTAAGCGCTGTATAAAAGCGGAGTTATTATTATTATTATTATTATAGGAAATAAAGCAAAGAAGAAAAATTCCACAAAAAAATTTCATTCAAATAAAGTTAAATTAATGTCCTCATGTGTCTTGTATACATAATTATGCACAGCACAAACAAATAAAGAAAACAAAATACAAACATTGTCTTTTAGTGCAGATTACTCCTACATCACACAAGTTATTTCTGTGAACTTTCAAATTTGTTTCTTGTGCATTTTAGGATACAATCATGCTCTTTTCAAACTTTCAATTTATTTTGAAAAAAGAAAAAAAGCATTTCTTTTTACTTAGTATCATATGATAAAAGACTTCTGACTTACAACAAATGAACAAAACAAAATGTGAAATCTTTCTTTGTGTGTGTTAAAAAAAGTCATCTAGATCCCCACAAGAAGTTCTAGATGCACTCGGATCACTAATGATTTACTCTAACTCCTGACATTGGTGGAAAAAAGTAGTAGGAGCCTGACTGTGTAAAAAAACCAATGAATCTTTCTTACTCTAGCATTGATAAGGCTACTGGTTGTGGTACTGTGTAAGCATAAGGATGTGCCATCATAGCTACATCCATCCCCTGGAAGGCCCCAGCTTTGATCAGGTCTACCTTGCCTCCTGCCCCTTCCTCTGCCGGCGTACCAAGCACTGTCACCTGATGGTACAAGTTGCGTTAGAAGTTATATCAAAGATGAAGTTGAATTCATTTTGGGCAAATACATTATGAAAGAAATTGTTGCTCAAGAAGAAATTGTGAAAGGTTCATTTTGTAGTAAATAAGAACTGTTATATACTGCGAGGTTTTGGGATCATAAAATGATAATAAATTTACACAATCTAATTGCTGAAAGTACCATCGAATGCAAACAGGAATATGTATATTGGATATACACACATATGTGGTATTAATTAAAGTTTGGTTCAAGAGTAATGTTCAGCTGGGATCTATAATTCATTTGTTCAGGCGAACCTTAATTGTTAGCGTCTGCAAGCCCGGGAATAAGCTTACCCTTCCTATGGGAGTGCCATCGAGCTCCATTGCAGCTTTGATCCCTAGACCTGCGGCTGCTCCACACTCGGCAATCAGGTTGTGTCCACAGGCGTGGCCAATTTCAGGAAGAGCATCGTATTCAGAGATCACACAAACATGGACTCCACCATCAGTTCCATATGTAGCCTTGAATGCTGTCTCTAAATGATAATTTCTTGTCACCTTGAAAAATGGGATGAGAAATTGATTCATGGTTACTAGACATTCATATTTATTTCTCCATTCAAAGGTTAATTGTCAATACTTGCTATTTCTCCCCCCACATTCCAAAATGTCCTACTCTTCCTCCCCCTTCCAGGGCTGTTCTTATCACTCATCTCCACTCTCTCCTTCTTCTCTTTCTTCCCCTTCTTATCTTCCTTTTTCTCCTCCTTCTTTCACTTCTTCCTCTCGTGTTCTGATCATATATTGCATGTGAATGAAATAAATCTACCTCAAAACCCTCCTTTTCCAGATAATCTGTGAGAATCTTGTGAGCATGATGTTCCTCATAACCCAGTTCAGGATGGGACCAAATATCTTGGCTGATGTTATTGAGATCCGAGGCTGATTCATCTATCTTAGCCTGGGCTACTTGCTTTCTCTTGTTCCACTCGGTCATAGTAATAGTCTACAGGTAGACTAGCTCAACAGACCCCTAAAAGGAGGAAAAGAAAACAACAGAGATAAGAAATTTCTAGACATTATGAGAGAGGTGTTGTGGTCGAGTGGATGTGTCACCGGACTGTGGATCACGAGGCCTGCGGTTTGAGTCCCGCGGGCTGCACCAATGTCCTTTGGCAAGACACTAATCTACATTTACCACACTCAACCCAGGTGAGGTAAATGGGTACCTGGTAGGATTATTCCTTGAAATGCACTGTGCGCTGATAACGGCTGCTGCGGAGCTAAAGCTAGGGTAATAATTTCTAAGGCGCATTAATTATCACCCGTGCTTTAGCCTAGCTGCCATTACAGTGCTCCAGCATTTCAAGGAATTAATTAATTCTGCCAGGTACCTATTTACCTCACCTGGGTCGAGTGCAGCACATGTAAATTAATGCCTTGCCAAAGGATATTAGCGCCATTTCGGGGGTCGAACCATGACCTTTGAATTTCAAGTAAAGTGCTTAAATCACTCAGAGGTTATTTTGAAATTATATGAAAAGTAGATGTATTTTTAAAATATCAAACTGTCAAGTCTAAATAAAGAAAAATTGCGGGTTACATTTTCACTGGATTCCGGCCAAAATCGCTAGTATCCCCAACCCCCCTTGTATGGGGTACCGCGTACACTGTGTGTATGGGGTCTGGCTGGGGAAGGTTAGAAAATGTCAGTTTTATTAAAGAATTCCCCATACCAGTTATTTCTGTCTAGGCCTATATGAATGATTGGTGATCTAGCTTAGCTATGCCCCGCATCTATTGCTGGTGTGCGCGTGGGTAATTTGTCCAACATAGCCCCTTGGTCCAACCATCAGACCATGCATGCACACCATTGCACCGATGACATTTGCCACAACTGCAAACACTGGAATCAACAAATCCATGTAAAAAAACGATGAGCATCATGAATTGATATTTACAATCGCACTCATTCTTTAGCCTGCAAGGAAATCAAGAGCGTTTTCAGTGAACTTACCAAAGAAACAAGTGGAAATGTTTACTGCGATAACGTTGTTGATGTAATCAGACTCGAACTACTGAACAGCAAGCTGTTCGCTTGAACTTAACACTAGCGATTGCAGCATAGCTAGCTAGCTAGCTATAGCACGCAGCTCCCGAAGTTCAGGGGTGATCGAGTCTTCGGGTTCCGCACTGCTGCCTTGAACAGAGCTATAGCGCGACGAGGAGAACATGATTGTACAGTGCGCGTTTTTTAAGATCTTTAAAGAGGGGCGTGTCTGATGATGGGCGTGGCCATAAGTGGGCGCGGTACGTTTTTGTTTTTTTTTTGTTCGGGGAGGGAGGGGGGGGGGGGGGGTGAAGCGTGTAACTGGTACTCATTTGAATATAGAAAGGTATGTACATATTTTGTTGTTGTGGGAGGGTGAGGTTTGTAGAACTAAATGTTATTTAATCGACTTTATAAAGGATATTTTGAAATTAAGTTAGAACTTAGAGGCCCTAATTTACTGTCTTTGGGGTAATGGAATTGGATATGGGAGCAGAACTCCAGTATCGTGTATAAGCAGAAGATTTCATATATGTTGTTATTAGATCCGCAATTAGACCATCAGAAGGATTCATTGGCTAAATTTATATTAATTCTTTTCTGAATATCAAAACAGGAACATGACAGTTTCTAGCTATTTAAATACTGTTTTATACGGAGATGCATGGGAAGAAAAAAAAAAACATTATTCAAAAAAGGAAAGAAGGATAGAAGAGATTTTATTTTTGATAATTTATTTTATTTCAGTAACAGATCTTGATCACAATCACACCAATTATATGGACCTATACAAATGCATGACAGGTCATAGCACTGTAGATCATAATATAGATATAAGATAGTCTTTCATTAGAGGTAATCATTACCTCATTGGTAATAGTTGGTAATTCGATCTTTATACAGTGATTGTACCGCTTCTATTAGAAAAATGTTAAATGTATAAAAAAAGGAAATACATATACGATGAAGTAAAAAACTTCTTGAAAAGATTATGTTATAAAAAAAAATGAAATATCATGTAAGGCTTGTAGAATAAACAAACTGACACAAAATGATGACCATTTCATGATATGTTTACACTTGTAAATGTAAACTGTTCATACTGATGTTCTACGTTGATTACAATAGAAAAAATATACATACTCATTTATTTTGAGTTGTCACACAGTATCCATATTGCAAATGCACAGTCGCCTATAATATATGGCTTAACATGGCAGGTATACATCATAACAAAAATATTTTTAAAATATTTTTAAATTTGTATTTAATTTGAAAATTCCATTCACCTATTTCTTGTAAATGATCAAGGATGATTCTTGAATGATCAGTTATTTCATGGGAATACCAATTAATTTGTATATATGCTTGTGTATTTATCTATTTTGTTTTTGATGCTGTTATTTGTTTTATTCTTACCAAACGAAGCCTCATGGAAGACCACCAAATTGGTGATATGTGCCACCCTGTAAAATATCATAAATAAATAAATTAATAAATAGGGTTCGTTTATAACAAGTTACAATAATGATAGCTACTGAAATCGTAGCATTTGATTAGCTGAGAGCAATTTTGTTATAGAATTGTGACACTTGTCAAAACAATGATGGGGTCCTGATTTTCAAAAAGTCATACATCAGGACCGTGGTTTCCTTAGTTCTTCAAATCAGATTTTAGCATACCACTGGTCAGTTAGAATTTCAAATAATGACAACAAGACATTTAGCTGCACTCTCAGATGATACTAAGTATCAATTCCAACTTTCATTATCCAGGTAGCAAGAGTCCCTTCAAATTTAAAACACCCTTCCTCTCCCAAATGCTGTCCCAAATAATTTATAACTGTCATCATTTGCAGATGATCTGTGAAAATGTGCAAATGTGGCCACAAAATCAATAAGAAACAGCCTAAATATATTACATCTGGCAAGACCCTGTGTGGCAGAGGTTAAAAAAAACAGGCACATGTTTCCTAGTGATCCATTCACTATGTATTATCACATCTTTGCTCGACATACACAAACTAAATTCTTTTTGGAAAGACATACATATTTTCTATCCAATGAAAATACATGTAGATACAGTTTTTTTGCTGCTGCTGCAGAAGTGTACTTCTCTTTTTTTCCTTGTTTATATTAATGTTCGATGTTGATTTTGTTTGTATAATTATTGTTGATCTTTTTATGTATTGGTGGCCCCTTTTTATAAGCTCTGCTTTCTCCGGGGTCACCAAACCATCACTGTGTTATTCTAAATTCTTGATGTAACTTATTTTGATTGTATATATATATATTTTGATGGTTGAACAATAAATGAATGGAATTGAATTGAATTGAATGCAATCCAGTTTTGAAGTGTATACCAATCATCTGAAAAAAAGATTTGTATATATCCATAATACCTAGAATGTATAAAATCAACTTAAAAAACTTTACCTGGCTTCCAATAGATAAATGGTTAAGAAACATGAAGAAAATAATTGATAACATAAAACCCCATGTTTAAGGCTGGCACACAACCCAAGTCGGACTTGCATGGTTCCATGGGTTCCAAGGGCGTATGTTAGCAACATTTCACTGTTCCCTTAGGATGTAATTGCACAATCTATTTGTAGCTCATAGTTTGGCTTCAGCTAGCAACATGGAACCCACTTCATGTTTTGGTGATTGGTACATTTTTTTAAAAGACGTGACCTTTCTATGCAATATATTCCAGTTTTAAGTGAGCATATAAAAGCACTGTTCTGATAATCCAGACATTACTAGGGGTTTGACATCAAACTGAACTTTCATTAGACATTAAAATCACTGATGGGTGTCTAGGGTATATGGAAATACTGAGAGTAATGAATTTATATTAATATCTAACATTGAAGGAGAGAAACAAAGAGACAGAGACAAGAGAAAGGGAAAGGGAGAGACAAGACAGAAAAGAGAGAAAGTGAAATTAAGGGTTGATTGATTAAGATGTTTACAATGTAGTGTGACTTTCTTTAGTGAGTGGTGACCACTTGCATACAAAGACCACTCTTATAACCTAGATATATGCATTTACCCAGTATATATATAATATAACTTTTATAAAGTTGCTTTTTCCTGAATGGTGTTTCTCATATCGTGTGTAGAATAAAGACCACCTGCTGACAGGAGTTTATACACATGATTCCCAGTAATTTGAATGTTTCCATAAAACTTATCATCAATATCAAGTTACAATAATTGATCTATAAGCCCCTGACATCAGGGCATTTCATTGGCTGAGAGCAAATTTTGTTATACAATTTTGGCATCAGTGGCCGATAACAATTTATGAGGCAGGGCCCTGGAGGACACGATCTATGGACAGTTTGCACCTAGCTACGCTTTTGCTCCTCCCATCTGAAGAGCAAAGTCCTTTTTGATGTTTGCTAAGACCTCCTCATTTCCTGGTTTCATGACTTCCAGAGCTGTCAGAGCCAAGGATTTAGCCTGGACCAGAGTAGGGGGCTGGGCTGCAGCAGCACCTGAAAACAATGTAGGATATTCATGAAGTTAACAGCTGATAGGAATTGAGAGAGAGAGAGAGAGAGAGAGAGAGATAGAGGAGGATAGATAGATATAGAGATAAAGAGTGGGGGAAGGGAGGGATCCAAATGAAGGGGGGAGGGGAGTGGGAAGAGAAGGCACATTCAAATGAGTCAAGAGAGTAAACTCAAAATATGAGAATATTAACACAATAAAGAGACAATGATACAGAAAGAGATTGACTAACGGAGGGACTACATGGTGAGAATTTGCAACTGTTTTAGTATCCCTTTGTAGGAGGTGGGGGGGGGGGGGCTAGGGGCGTGGCCCAATACCAACCTGCCGCTGCAGTGAATGGTCTGGAATGGTTGGCTGCCATGGTCCCTATGTCGTACATAGGATGTATGCTAGGGACCACGTACGACACGTTTCCCATGTCGGTGGAACCGGAACCACTGTTGTCATCAAAGACTACGCCCATTTGGGAAGCCTCCCTCTTGTAGATTGATATCACGGTGGGATTGGTGACAACATTAGCAAAGCCTCCAAGATCTTTGACTGTGCACTGGATAGAAAAGGACAGAATTGCATTTGGTCATTGCCAAAGTATTGTCATCTGCCCGGCAAAGGGCACAAACACTAATTTAGGTAAAGCTTTTCAGTTTTAATTTTGAAGTACTACAAAATTAAAACTGAAAAGTGCCCACCGGGGTTCATGAGTGCTTATAACCTCCGTCCCCAACGGGAGCCAACTGCTAGTTTCATTTTAATCGTCCCTTCCTCTTGGGACGAGGGGCTAATTTTCGGGGAGGTATTTTGAGAGGGTTTTCTTTCGTTGGATGAGGGACAGTCTTCATTCTCTTTTCACTCCCGTGGTTTTGTTTCCCCCGACTCGGAACGAGGGGCTAATTTTCGGGAAGGTACCTTGTAAGGTTTATCTTTTGCGGGATGAGGGACATGCACTTTTTACTCCGCTCTCACTCCCGTGGATTTGTTTCCCCCAGAGATCTGCTCATGGGATTTTGGCTTCAATACCCCCGGGGTAGCACCAGCGTTTTGGGGGTTCGATTTGCCTGTTGATTTTGTCTTTTTCGTATTTGTTTGGGTTTTCTTCCCTTTCTCATTCGCCGGGGTGTACGTCACGGACCCATCCTTAGCGGTATTTGATTTTGACATCGTCTTTAAAAGTTGAAAAGCCGGTGAAGTGATTTGCGAGCGCGGGTGATTACATTTGTTAATGTACTATTAGCAGGCGCCGGCAAAGGAAAGAGGAAGTGTTATTTGCGCAAGGCCTTATATACTACTGACCGTCGGGGTTTCCTACATTGACTCCGACGGAGTATGACATCACAAAAAGACTTAAGCACAGACTCTTCTTTGTGTTTTTCTCTAAGGAGAAAACCTTTGCTGGTAAATAGCGGGTAAAGTAAGGGAATAGCATTAATGGTATAGGTAAGTATGGCGTAGTCTGCCGTAGATATTGTGATGTCATTTAGGATGAAATAAACTGTTCAGGCAGAGAGTCTCATTCAGTCTTCTCACCTCACAACCTGTTGCCACGGCAGCACCCTGGGCACACCCCACGACCTTCTTCTTGACCTGTGAAAGTGCTTCCTGTGTTGGAGCCCTTAGGTAGTAAAAGAGCTCCGCCTCCTCTGGTATGATATTAGGCTTGGCTCCACCATTTGTAAATATGCCTTGCAGATGGAAGAAACACACAAAATTTCAATTCAGATTTTGAGGAAATGTGAGATACACTTTTTCTGAAGGTAACATCAAATTTTGCATTTGTGAAGTTTTGCAATCACAGAGAAACTGGCTTAAAGGCCCACTGTACTACTTGTAGCTACTAGCTCCCTCTATATAGAAAACATTGCCTAATCGTTGACCATTGGTCCCCCATGATCCTCTTTTACTTATGTTAATTGAGAGCTGAGTATGTCAGTGACTGTCCTGGGTGGTCTAATCCCTCCTAGCCAAACTAGTACAGATGGGCTTTAAAGTAAACCAATCACCAACAAAAAAAATGTCAGTAGGCCTTTATTAGGGGTTCCCTAGGCTATATCATAAAGAGATAATTGCAAGTTCAAATACTCTATCGATTAACATAGAAGCAACTTATGAGTAGACTGCTCAATAAATCTGTATTGTGGTGGTCAAAAAAAGGGATCGCACAGATCCCAGGGCGGACTCGGGCTTTTTGTGCGTATAGTTTTAGCTCATAGAATGCCAATTAAGTTTTTGTTTTAAAGGTTTATTTTATACATTCTTGCTGTACACAATAATATTTGAGGTGATTGGTACACTTTACATTACCTGAAACAATTTATCATGGTGGAGATGGTATCCATATGACACAATGAGAAGTGAACTTACTTCTGAGAGAAGGATAAATCCCACTCCTGACATCTCATTCATGCACTTCATAATAATACCAGAGATTGGGGTCAGGGAAAGAGGGAAATAACCAGAGGTGGTGAGTAAATTAATCTTGGAAATGCCCCCCCCCCCCTCTCAAAAAATGAAATGGAAGCTCTTCTTACCAATCATGTGAAAGAATATGTTTTGACTAATACATGATGATACAAATTTTGCCGGGAAACCGCCTACTAATTGATATATTGATATATTTGGACTTTTTATATTATCATATCGATCCGAACTGGGTAGATATCGCGTAGTCATATATATATATATATATATATATATACATCTTTCTGTGTACAGTGCTTGTAACTTTATTTACCAAGACTGGGCCAAATTTCTTATCATTTTGATGATTTCAGAACCTTGCAGTACACACCAATACTTATATGCTAGATGATCAACCTTTTCTGATCGATTCCATGTTTCTTTCACAATGCAATCGCATGACTAGAACTGGTCTATACCTTTAAAAGAGCCATGATTTAAAATAATACATACATATTGCTTAAGCAAATTTCAGTTTTTATGTAGCAGATCCAAAAAGAGCTCCAAAGATCAAAAAAGATTTTTTTTTTTAAACAGAGACTAGGGTTTCTCAAAATGAGCAATGTGCTCCTTACAGCAAGGGGTACTTGCATGGGTGTAAATTCAATGGGAATAGTTACATCATCTATCGAAAGTGATACAGTATAGAATTATTACCAAAAAAATAGAGGACCGAGAGGAATAGTATAAAACTTACCATGAACTCTCCATTCTGGTTTCAGCTGTTGTCTCATGACTGAGATACTATTATAACACATCACAGCTGCATCCAAGGCATTCACTCCTTCCCAGGGAACTGCAGAGGCATGGGAAGCAAGACCAGTGAAGTGAATTTTCATTCTGGAAAAATTGAGATAACGCGATCAAGAGAACGGGACGTACCGACGGCCGGACGTAAAAACGGACAACCCGAAAACATAATGCCTCCGGCTACTCTGTTGCGTTGGCAAAAAAAGCCAGAGGAACTTTCCATCAAATAAAGAAAACAAAAAACAAACATAGTTTTTACAATAGATTACTCCTAAGTATACATCACACAACTGATTACCGAAAACTTTCAAATTTGTGTCTTGTGCATTGCTCTGATCAAACTTTGATTGATTTAAAAAATATAAGAATAGGATTTATGTTCACTTAGTATGATGTGATAAAATACATCTGGATCCCTACAAAACGGTCAAAATGCACAGGGATCACTAATAATTTACTCTAGACCCCTGGCAGTGGTGGAAAACAAAATAGTATGGAGCCTGACTGTAGGAAATCCAACGGGTCTTTCTTACTCTAGCATTGATAAGGCTACTGGTTGTGGTACTGTGTAAGCATAAGGATGTGCCATCATAGCTACATCCATCCCCTGGAAGGCCCCAGCTTTGATCAGATCTATCTTGCCTCCTGCCCCTTCCTCTGCTGGTGTACCAAGCACTGTAACCTGATGGTACAAGTTGTGACAGAACTTATATCAAAGATAATGTTTGGGGAAATACATTATGAAAGACATTGATGCTCAAGAAAAAGTTGGGGAAGGTTCAAGTTCTGCTATATATACTGTGAGGTTTGGAAATCATCAAAATGATAATAAATTAGCACAATCTTGCTGAAAGTACCATCCAATGCACACAGGAATATGAATATGGGACTATTTGTGGAATGAAAGTTTGGCCCCGGAGTGAAATTCCTAGGATCTACAATTCGTCGGCCGGCTGGCAGAAGAGCGTTAGCGCACGAGCGACTCGAAAACTACTTTTCAAATTATTTACATTTAAAGATATATGTTTCAAATTTAAACTGCTTTCCATCCCGAAAATTGTTTTAAAACTTAAAAAACTAATAGAAATGTTAGAGTAGAACACGGCCACAATTTTTACCCGAAAATAAATCAGTTTCATTAAAGTTTGGGGCGATTTATGATCATTTTTGACCTGAAATTCAAGCTAATGCCCTTCTGCCAGCCATGAGGCGACAAATTATGTACAGGATCCTTGTTTATAGTGTCAAGCCCGGGTATAAGCTTACCCTTCCTATGGGAGTGCCATCGAGCTCCATTGCAGCTTTGATCCCTAGACCTGCGGCTGCTCCACACTCGGCAATCAGGTTGTGCCCACAGGCATGGCCAATTTCAGGAAGAGCATCGTATTCACATATCACACAAACATGGACGCCACCATCAGTTCCATATGTAGCTTTGAATGCTGTATCTAAGTGATAATTTCTTGTCACCTTGAAATGGGATGAGAAATTGATTCATGGTTAGGCATTCACATTTTTTTCTCCATTCAAAGGTTATCAATATATCCCCCCCCCCCCATGTTCCAAAATTTCTACTCTTCCTCCCCCTTCCATGGGTCGTATTCTGAACTCCAGTGTTATCTCTAATATTGTTGTATTTTTTGAGATAAGATCTTTTATCTTATCGTATCTTGCATGGTGTTTACAACAATATTTACAACAGGTAGGGGGTTGTTGTATCTTTTGTGGTGATATAATGGCGGCAATATTTCTTGCCCAGAACCAACTTCGTGCCAATATACGAGTTAGAAGAAGATTGTGTGTTGACCGGAAACATCACAGATGAGAACTTTCTAAGAAATTACATGCTAGGATATGACGATTTTAATGCTCTCATCTTAACCAATATAGTGAAAGCGTGACTTGTCTTCATGATGACGCACGTAATAAGCGCTCAAATAACTAATTACGCCCAAGATTAGTATCTGTAGGCGCGTCTTCAGATATGGCATAAAGTATTCCTATTGGTTGACCTACTTATCATGCTTATATAAAACAGATTTTGATTGGTACAAATGGGCGTGTCAACAGTGGTAAAAAAAAAGATAGAGGCGGTCCTTCAAGAGATAACACAGGGATAAAATGACTTTCAGAATACCACCTAACAACAATATTAGCGCTGTGTTAACTCAGGGAGATACAACAAAAGTTAACACAAAACTTACAACAATGTTCAGAATACCGCCCCAGAGCTGCTCTTCTTGCTCATCTCTACTCCCTTTTTTTTCTCTCCCTTTCCCCTTTTTCTCTTCCTTTGTCTCCTCCTTCCCTTACAAAAAAGTTGTATAGAATTCTATAGAACGCTTTATAGAGTTCTATAGAACTCTATAGAACTCTATAACATTCCAGATTCTCTATAGAACTTTTAAGAATTCTCTATAGAAAGCGGTTTCCTCTATAGAATTCTATAGAATAAGTTTTCTATAGATTTAAATTTCTATAGAAAAGTTAATTCTCTATAGAATTTTTAAGGTTGTCTATAGAAATCAGTTTCCTCTATAGAATTCTATAGAATAAGTTTTCTATAGATTTAAATTTCTATAGAAAAGTTAATTCTCTATAGAATATTTTAGGTTGTCTATAGAAATCAGTTTCCTCTATAGAATTCTATAGAATAAGTTTTCTATAGATTGAAATTTCTATAGAAAAGTTAATTCTCTATAGAATTGTTAAGGTTGTCTATAGAAATGAGTTTTCTCTATAGAATTCTATAGAATAAGTTTTCTATAGATTTAAATTTCTATAGAAAATTTAATATAAAAATTGGCGTCCCCACTTCTCTATAGAATTTTTAAGGATGTCTATAGAAATCAGTTTTCTCTATAGAATTCTATAGAATAAGTTTCCTATAGATCTAAATTTCTATAGAATTCTATAGAATTTTTTTTCTATATGAAGATATGTATCTCATGCATATTCATGATAATTTGCATGTTTTCACAGAAAATGTAATTATCATGATCTGACAAGCAAATGTGACAATTAACTTCAATTTTGTGATTTATATTTTCTTAGACAATTATTGACAAATATAATATATATGTACGATTTTTTTAAACATGTAACTTAAGACGTAAAATAGATATATTAATATATGTAATTTACTAACCAGTAAAAACATGTATAATTTTGTATATATGTATGTAAGATCTCCGCACTACTTAATTAACAATATATACTCAACTGTATTTTGCTTCAAATGATCATTGTGATGGAGCAATTGCAGGAGTCTATATAAATATGGTTTAGTCGGTGGCCAGATGTCATGCAATATTGATTATTAATTATCAATTGATTGCTGGTCGCTACTGAATAATAAACTGGTTTTCAACTGGTAAATAATGGTCTATAGAATTATTTACAACAAAAGTTCTATAGAATTCTATAAAAAATATCTATAGAATTTCTATAGGCCATTCTATAGAATGTTTTATAGAGATTCTATAGATGTCCGTTATAGATTTCTATAGAATTTGTATAGAAAAGTGGCCCACTTTTCTATAGAATCTCTATAAAACATTTCTTTAGAATTGCTATAGAATAAAATGGTCTATAGAATTCTTTATAAAAAAATTCTATAGAATTCTATAAAACAAATTCTATAGAATTTCTAAAGGCCATTCTATAGAATGTTTTATAGAGATTCTATAGAGGTCCGTTATAGATTTCTATAGAATTCTTATAGAAAAGTGGCCCACTTTTCTATAGAATTTCTATAAAACATTTCTATAGAATTGCGTATAGAAATTCTATAGAATTTCTATAAAACATTTTTATAGAATTGCGTATAGAAATTCTATAGATTTTTTTTAATAGAATTCTATAGAACTGTTTTGTAAGGGTTCTCTCACTTCTTCCTCCCCTGTTCTAAATAATTTCTTCGAATATCAGAAAGATTGATACCTCAAAACCCTTCTTTTCCAGATAATCTGTGAGAATCTTGTGAGCATGATGTTCCTCATAACCCAGTTCAGGATGGGACCAAATCTCTTGGCTGATGTTATTGAGATCCGAGGCTGATGCATCTATCTTAGCCTGGGCCACTTGCTTTCTCTTGTTCCACTCGGTCATAGTAATAGTCTTACAGGCAGACTAGCTCAACAGACCCCTAAAAGGAGGAAAAGAAAAAGAACAGAGATAAGAATTTTGTTGACATTATGCAAGTTTAATTAATAAATGAATACAATTGCAACACCCAATTGAAGTACCGTACATTTTGAACATCGTTCAGGTTAGTGAAGGGAGGTTTTGCAATGACTGTGTGTGATGGCATTCTCATCGCGGACAGTTTTTTCAAGAAAATTGGGCAGATTAGCTGAAATTAAGTTGCTATATTTTTATGTTTTACAATGATTTTTTATGTTTTTTTGAAATTATAGACTATGAAAAGTTAAATCTATTTTCTTTCCAATCATATTTTAAAAATATCAGTAGGCTGATTAAGTTTAAACAAATGTATTTTACTGCTAATTAGGTGTCATCAATTCTCACTTAAGTACCGATTTTGAGTGAAATCAGTTGAGTTTTGTACAGTGGTGTTTGAAATGTTGAGAATCAAAAGCACATTCGCTTTAGTTTTACTACACAGTCAGGATAGTGATGCTCCTATGTGTGCCATGCACTGCACTGCATGCACACCAATGACTGTCACCTGTAACTGTGAACACTGAAATTCACAAAAACATTCATATAAAAACGGGATGAGCATCATAGTTCATTCATTGATATTTATTTATAATCGCACTCACAGCATGCAAGGATATCAAGAGCTATTTTAATTTACTTACAAAAGAAACAAGTGGAAATGTTTACAATGATATCGTTGTTGACGTTTCGGCTAGTAGCGTACTCCACGGGAGGCTTATGGTTAGCTCGCTCCGGATCCGGAGTTCAGGGGTGTTCGAGTCTTCGCTTCGGCGCGGCTTCCGCACCGCGCTGCCTGGCCTTGAGCAGAGCTATAGCGCGGGTTTACGATCATTAAAGAGGGGCGTGTCTGATGGGCGTGTCTGATGGGCGTGGCCTAAGTGGGTACGTCTTGTTATTTTTATTTTTTGGGGGGGGGGGGGGGGGGGGGGGAGGCAGGTGCTGGATATGTAGTATGGTACTCAATGAATGTAGATCGAGGTATGAAAGGCCTATGCTTCTTGTTGGGGGGGGGGGGGGGGTTGTAGGAATAAATGTTATTTAATTAAAATATATGTTGTGTACCATATTTTGAACCAAATGCTATTTCATTTTGGGGATAATAAAATTAGATGGGAGCAGAACTATTTTGTTCAGCCTAGATCTATCTCATAAAAATAGAATTTTAAAACTCTTGAATTTCATATATTATCACAAGATTTAATGTTGTAATAGATCATCATGTTATCCCCTGATCTAACCATCTGAATATCTTTTAGAACGATTCAAAGACTAAATAGAGATAATTGTATTAATTCTTTACTCTTTTCTAAATAGTAAAACAGAGATAAAAAATGACAAATAGTTCCTGGATATTAAAGGTACTATGTCCCTTTTGCAGCCAACCTCAAATGCTGTAGAACTTTGCAGGAATTATGAATATGTCATGTATGTCCTATCTGTGAAATTTAAACGTTAGCAGTGTCCTCATATTCAAATTATGCAAGGAAACCCATTTACTTGCTAGACTTCACTGTCAGACACTATTTGATATCGAGTGACTGACTGGCTCTTTTTCTTCTTTGGTAATAACATACATGAAAAGAGTTGTAAAGGGTACATGAGCATTTGTCTACATCAATAACCCACTTCTTGTGATGGCCAAGATTAAACTGATTGAATCTTTGCACAGCATGAAACGTATGACCATTCGGTACAATTGTCTGAAAATCAAGACTATTACTTTTGGGCTCTATAGCCCTAAAGTCGATTTGACAACTAATAGTCGTTATTTTCCCACTTGAAGACATTTTTAAGCCCCTTCTTTTTTAGGGAAGTTCTAAATTAGTATTATCTTTCAAATGCAGTTGGAATTTAACTTTTTCATTTTTTTGGCCCGTAAATGGGACATAGTGCCTTTAACAAAATGTTTTAGATGGAGAGGGGAAAATCAAACATACAGATAAAAGAAAAGAAGGATAGAAGAAATTTAATTGTTTTGTAATTATTTTTTTATTTCAGTAAAAGATCTTGATTATATACAACCGCACCTTCACAAATGCATGACAGGTCATAGAACTCATACACACTGCACATCATAAAACCGATTTAAAGATAGTCTTTCATCGTAAAAGGTAATCATAACCTCATCGGTAAGTTGGTGATTTGTTATACAGTGATTGTACTGATTGAAATGTTAAAAATGGTAGGCCTTTAAACAAGGAGATACACGTATACCCGGTATGTTGAAGTAAAAAACTTCATGAAGAGATTAAATAAAAATAAAAAATATGAAATATCATATAAGGCTTGTAGTATAAACATATAGACATAAAATGAAGACCATTTCATCATATGTTTACATTTGTAAATGTAAATTTTAAATTCTAATGTTCAATTTTTATTACATAAATAGAAAAATATACATACCGGTACTTAATTCTTTTGAGTTTTGACAGAGTATCCATATTGCAAACACACATAGTCGCCTAAAACTTGAAGCTTAACATGGCAGTAATACATGGTCAAGTTCATTTATAGATCAGGGTCCTGTTTCATAAAACTTAAAACTAAAAGTTACAATAACTGTTAGAAGCTACTGAAATTGTAGGATTTGATTGGATGAGAGCAAATCAGTCATAGAAATGTGACACTTCTTATTGAAAACAAGTTTTATGAAACGAGGTCCTCATTGTCAGAAGGCCATACATCAGGACCCTGGTTTCTGAAGTTCTCAAAAATAAGATTTCAGCATACCTCTGGTCAGTTAGAATTCTAAACACAATGACACAAATGCATGTAGCAGCACTCTCAGATGATGCAAAGTATCCAATTCCAACTTTCATTATCCAGGTGGCAAGAGTCCCTTCAAATTTACAACACCCTCGATCTCCAAAATGCTGTCCCAAGTAATTCATGTACAATAAAAACCTGTCTATAGCAACCGCCCGAGGTAAACAATGATATTTGAAGATGGGTTCCTTAGTTCATGTTTCAATGAGAAACCATTTTCAAGGGAAACAAAAAAATGTGGTCACTAAAGCAGGTTTGACTGTACTAGTAATGTATATCTGTCATGATTTGCAGATGATCTGTGAAAATTCAAAGGTAGACACAAAATCAATAAGAACTAGATGGAACTTTGACTGCGCGCAGTCAAAAATGATGCCTCCGTCATAGAGTAATTTTACAAACCAAAACAGAAGAAATTTTTCAAATTCAAATTTCTCATATACATAAATGACCCTTTGATCTTTGACCTTATGACCCTTAAATCTACTCAGTTCATTGGCTCTGCAAGATGTCCTGAGTTAAGTAGTAATCCATCTGTCAGTTCTAATGAGAATGCATTCACAAACTATTTTAGCATAATAATGAGCCCATGACCTTTGACCTCATGACCCAAGAATCTACGCAGTTCATTGGCTCTGCAAGATACATCAATGACCTAAGTATGGCAGCAATCCATCAATCGGTTCTTGAGATAACGCGATCACGAGCTGTTTTTGCATACATAATGAGCCCTGTGACCTTTGACCTTGTGACCCTAAATCTAATCAGTTCATTGGATCGGCAAGATACATACATGACCAAAGTTTGGCAGGAATCCATCCATCGGTTCTTGAGATAACGCGATCACGAGCTGTTTTTGTATACATAATGAGCCCTGTGACCTTTGACCTTTGACCTCGTTACCCCCAAATCTAATCAGTTCATCGGCTCTAAAAGATACATACATGACCAAAGTTTGGCAGGAATCCATCAATTGGTTCTTCAGATAACGCGATCACGAGAACGGGACGTACGTATGTACGGATGGAGGGACGTACGGACGTACGGACAACCCGAAAACATAATGCCTCCGGCTACTTCGTAACGTAGGCATAAAAACAAAGAAACAGCCTAAATGTAATACATGTGGCAAGACCCTGGGTGGCAGAGTTACAATAATCAGGCACACGATGTTACCTAGTGACCCATTCACTATGTATTATCACATCTTTGCTTGACATGCACAAACTACCGGTAAATTCTTTTTGAAAAGACATACATATTTTCTATCCAATGCATTCCAGTTTCAAAGTGTACCAATCATCTGAAAACAATATTTGTGTATAGCCATTACCTAGAATGTATAAAATCAACTTTAAAAAACTTTACCTGGCATCATATAGGTAAATTGTTACGGAACATGAACATTTTTAAACACCACTTTATTGTTTAAACTTGCACAACAAAGGAGAACATACAATAGCCCCGGTCATTTCCATTTTACCGGAAAATGCAGGGCATTAGAAGTACATATAATTTTATAAAATAAACTAATTTTACAACATAGTGTGGACTAAGGAGTTATGGACATTCCTAGGTATAGATGAAATAAGAGGAGCCAAATATTGAAAATTCATTTAAAGGTAATACAAAGTTTTGGTATGGGGTCATGAATTTGGTTCAAATGAACATATTGGAAGCAAATGCGATTCTAAAATGTTCAGTGATAGTTGTCGCGGTTAAAATCGAGTCTTAAGTGATAAAATTGTAAATAATAAACTCTTAATGTTGTAAAGCTCCCTCTCAAGGTCAAGATATTACTTTAGCTATAAAACATTGTTTCTTGAATACAATCGACCGATTTGCTATTTCCGTTTGGAATTTATATATCACAACTACATATTCTGAAATTATCATGGTCGCAGTTACCATCGTATGGCAGTAGGCGCTATTTGAAATTTATCAAAATTTACCGGGAGCACCGGTAAATTTTTATATTAAATTTTTCTCGAAAGCAGAAGTGTTTTAGGGGCTAAATTTATTAGTGCTTAGAATACATCCACAGGGGCATCCAAATATATCAAAATTGTAAAGAATCACTGCTAGAAAATTTTCAAAATGTACCAAAACTTTGTAATACCTTTAATATATGTTATTGCACTTTCTATTTGAAGAAGAAATATTTGGAGCTCATAGTTTGGATACAGTATAGCAAAATGGAAGCCCCGTACAATATGAGCATGCAACACATGTTTTGGTGGTTTTGGGTGGTACCTTTTTTTGTAAAGACACCTTTGTATACATTGCATTCCAGTTTTAAGTGAGCATACACTAGCACTGTTCCGATAATCCACACATTACTTTATTTACTGAAGAACAGCCATTCTAAGGAGACGCGATAGCTCAGTCGGTAGAGCAGTGCATGGTCTCATAATCCGGTGACCCGGGTTCGATACCAAGTCAATGCGCTAGTGCCCTTTGGTAAGGCATTAATCCTCACTACCAGGTCCCTCAGAGAGGACCTAAAGCCGTCAGCCGTCTGGTTGCTTACCGTTAAGTGAGTTGATTAAGATATCTACCATACAGTGTGACTTTCTTTAGTAATTAATGACCACTTGCATTCAAAGATCACTCTTATATATATGTGTTTATATATATATATATATATGTATATATGTGTATAAATATATATCATATAAATTTTATAAAGTTGCTTTCCATTGATTTTGGCATTTGTTGCTGAAAACAAGTTATGAAGCAGAGCCCTGGAGGACACAATCTATGGACAGTTTGCACCTAGCTACGCTTTTGCTCCTCCCATCTGAAGAGCAAAGTCCTTTTTGATGTTTGCTAAGACCTCCTCATTTCCTGGTTTCATGACTTCCAGAGCTGTCAGAGCCAAGGATTTAGCCTGGATCAGTGTAGGAGGCTGGGCTGCAGCAGCACCTGAAAACAATATAAAAAAATCAGGATATTCATATTTAACAACAGATAGGAAATGAGAGAGAGGGGGGGGGGGGGGGGGGGAGGGAGAGAGAGAGAGAGAGAGAGAGAGATAGAGATAAAGAGAGGGGAAGGGAGGGAAGGAAAGGGGGGGGGGAGGGGAGATGACACATTAAAATACCAGTTAGTCAAGAGAGTAAAGTTAAAATATGAGAACATTAACACAGTAAAGAGACAATGATACAAAAAGAGACTGACCAACAGAGGGACTACATAGTGAGAATTTGCAACATTTTTAAGTATCCCTTTGTAGGAGGGGGGGGGGGCTAGGGGCGTGGCCCAATACCCACCTGCCGCTGCAGTGAATGGTCTGGAATGGTTGGCTGCCACGGTGCCCATGTAGTACATAGGATGGATGCTAGGGACCACGTAGGACACGTCTCCCATGTCGGTTGAACCGGAACCACCGTGGTCATCAAAGACCACACCCATTTGGGTCGCCTCCTTCTCGTAGATGGTTGCCATGGTTGGATTGGTGACAACATTAGCATAGCCTCTGAGGTCTTTCACGGTGCACTGGATAGAAAAGATAAGAATTGCATTTGGTTATTGCCAATGCATACCATCATCTGAATGGCAAAGGGCACAAAAACTACTTTAGGTAAAACTTTTCAGTTCATAGTCCTATATGTGCAAATGGACGTGATGTTTTGACCGCTGAATTTTGTTGTTGTAGCGTAAAGGCCGAACCCCGACTTTTTGATATTTTCTCTTCCAAAAACACTGCGGCCTTATCGCCGGCAAATACGTTATAGAAATTAGAAGGTTATATTAAACCTGTCACTGTTAACAAATTTTGATGGTGTACAGACTAAAATGAGTTGTATAGATGGCGTACCCCAGGGTAGCGTCCTAGGTCCATTGTTTGTTTTTTTATCTATACCAATAATTTACCATGCATTTGTTCACGCCCTTTAGCCTGTATGCTCAATTTCCCACGCCATCTGAACGTAAGGTCCGTATTTTCACACGATGCTACCCTGTCTCCAGAGATATTTCATGTGCACTTTTCAGCCCTTCCTGTGCAATAGGTGATTGACAGCCTAAATTTTGATGTTGCTATGACATTTTTTTAAAGAAGAAAAACTCATCCTGTCTCCTTGAAATTCAACATGGTTCATGAAATGTGAAGTCATATTAGGATGACACAAATATCATAGCAGAGAGTCTCAATCGGTCTTCTCACCTCACAACCTGTTGCCACGGCTGCACCCTGGGCACACCCTACGACCTTCTTCTTGACCTGTGAGAGTGCTTCCTGTGTCGGAGCCCTCATGTAGTAAAACAGCTCTGCCTCTTCTGGTATGATATTAGGCTTGGCTCCACCATTTGAAAATATGCCTTAAAGATGGAAGAAACACAGTTCAGATTTTGAGAAAGGTGATAATTTTTTTCCGAAAAGTAATGGCAAATCTTGAGTTTGTCAATTTTTGCATTCACAGGGAAACTGATGTAAAGGTAAAGACCGGTAGTGGTAAAATTGCAGTTCAAGGGTTTTGGGTGCAAAATATCCTTTCAATATTGTTTAAATATTGCCTTCAGAGGTTTAGATGGCAATACTTCAACCTCAATTCGCAAAAAATGCAGAAATATATGCCAACATGTTCAACGTTGAAGTGCATTCGCAATATCTATCCAGGCCGCATCGATTTACCAAATAAATCAATAAGTAGCAATTTCCCAGCAAAATTGTATGATCACATATTAGTCAAAACATATTCTTTCACATGATTGGAGCTTCCATTTCATTTTTGAGAGGGGGGCGTTTCCAAAACTGGTCTATACCTTTAAAAAGTAAACCAATCACCCAGAAAAAAATGTCGGTACATTAGGGGTTCACTAGGCTATATCATACAGAGATAATTGCAAGTTAAAATACTCTCTCAGTTAACAAAGAAGCGACTTATGAGTAGACTACTCAATGTATCTGTATGTGGTGGTATAGAAAAGGGCCTGCACAGATCCCAGGTCCAACTCGGACTATTCATGTTTGGTTTTAAGTTATTTGTATTTTCTTCAAACTAATGTCCTTTGGTAAGACATTGACACTACATTTGCCACACTCAACCAAGGTGATGTAAATGGGTACCTGGCAGGAATTAATTCCTTGAAATACTAGAGCGCCGTATGGCAGCCGTGCTAAAGCCAGGGTAATAATTGGGAGCGCCAGGAGTGTCAAGTATGACAGATATGAGCGCTATACAAGAACCCACTATTATTATTATTATTATTATGCCCAGCGAATGCCTGTTTTTGTTAAGGTTTATATTATACATCCATTTATCAAAATGAGCAGTGCGCTCCAAACAGCAAGGGGTTCTGAAATGGGTTTCAAAATATAATGGGAATGCTTACATCATCTATCGAAAGTGATACAGTATCGAAATTATTACCAAGATAATAGAGGACCGAGAGGAATAGTATTCTCTCTCTACATGCCATGTCCTGAGACGTTGGCGACCATGGAGTGCCACAACTCTCTGTCCCATATTATATGAAGTAATTCATTCTCCCAAGATCAATTCCACTTTCAGTAATCCCACTCCTTACGCTACTCATCCACAGAATCCTCCTTCTACCCCTACTCCTCTTCCCCTCTATTCTTTCAGTCAGTGCAAGATTTTCCAAACCATTCTTTCATATAACATGACCCAAGAAGCTCAGTTGTCGACCTCTTAAATTATTCAGAAGCTTTCGTCTTGTTCCTGCCATGGCAAATACCTCATTATTAGAAATTCTTTCTGTCCATGAAATTCTTAATAGCATCCTTCTCAGGAACCAAACTTCACAACTTTCCGGTCGCTTTCTTAGTAGGGAAAGTGACTAGAAAGTGGTGAAGTTTGGTTCCTGAGAAGTATTACTCACCATGAACTCTCCATTCTGGTTTCAGCTGTTGTCTCATGACTGAGATACTATTATAACACATTACAGCTGCATCCAAGGCGTTCACTCCTTCCCAGGGTGCTGTAGAGGCATGTGCAGCAAGACCTTTGTAGGATATTGTTACCCTGTTGGGACAGAAAGATGGGAGAAAAGTTATGAAATGACACTAGTTTCTATAATAATAATTCCGCTTTTATATAGCGCCTCGATACATCGAAGCGCTTTACAGATATATTATTACCCCAGTCATCGGATTCAGGCATACCCGCACACAATGTATGCACATTATCCACTCCCTGGGGAGCATTCCGGCCATTTTACAAGTGCACACTTGCTCATTCAACCACATTAACTTTCGCATCCTACCGGGTACCCATTACCTGGGTGGAGAGTGGCAAATGTAGATTTAGGTCTTGCCAAAGGACATTAGTGATGCGGCGGGACTTGAATCCCGTACCTTGTGATCTGCAGTCGGGTGACTTATCCACTAGAGTGGACCACAACACCTCTACAATATATAGATATCTAAATTGTATTCATCAAAAATATAGTGGGGTTGTGGGCCACTAAAAAAAAGGTAACATATACTGCCACCAGCACGTGTAGCAAAATTACCACCCACACTGAAAGGATCATAGCTATTTTAATCACAGTCAATGTGGAAAAGAAGTATGTATAAACATACAAATGATGAGAATGAACCACAGCAGGTGCAATTTGACATTACCTCAATATCAATATTAATATTAATATGATGATAAATTTTATATATTTAAGTAATGAAAACAAAGGACTGGATACCTCAGTCTTGCTTCCACCTTAAAAAAAACCATACAGGCTTACAGATCTTTCCTTGATGGTTTCCCTGATAGTGATGCTAGAATTTATAACTCCAGCAAAGCATAGAGTCAATGCTAATGCGTATTGACCTCTAGCGCTGTATACTTGCTGAGAGGCAGGTATAACACACAAATACACACACCACCCACTATTGCACGCTACATGTAATGCACACAATGAATACAAAGTGGCTGATTGGCAAGTTTGACAGTAGACTCACGATTTGAATTTTCAAAATATTTTTTTAAACATTGTTAGGTTGAAAAGATATTTAATATAATATAATATAAAATGCTATTTAGGATCATTAATTGTCACTTAACTCAGTTGAGTTATGTACAGTGGTGTTTGAAATGTTGAAAATCAATAGAACAGTTTTTAACACACAGCCAGGATGGTAATGCATCTATGTGTGCAACTTATTAATTCCTAGTTGAAATGTTACTTTCCTCCAACAGATTGTGAATGAACTAATCTTACCTGTCCACTGCAATCATCATCGGTCTTGAGAGGTTATTGGGGTAAGGATGAGCCATCATAGCAATGTCCATGCCTTCAAATGCTCCAGCATTGATGAGGTCAATCTTGCCCCCTCCCCCTTCCTCCGCAGGAGTCCCTAGGACGGTCACCTACACATTACAAGTTTTGAAAGTGAAATAAGAATTCCTGTTAATTCATAAAAGCAAAGGTTCCTGATTTTCCCATGGTTTTTCCTTATTGAGTTTTATATCTCCAGGGTCGTTGAAGAGGTACATTATCTCTCTCCCTCAGGTGTTCTGCAAGGGGCAGGCCCACATCCCTGATAGAGTTTCAATATTGGACACAACATCCCTATTTTAAAAAATTGGAAATGATTACAGAAAAAATTCTGTTATGTTTTATATTGCATCATGCAGTCATAAGACAAATTTTACAATTAACTAAAATAAATACAGTAACCTAAATGGTGGGAGAACTGTCTATGAGCAAGGTTGACAAATGTCATTTTTATTAAAGACTTTCTCATGCAAAATGTTTTTTTCTGCCCATTTGGTCAAATGAGATTTGATCATTCTTGTCACAACCTTCCTGCCAACGGTTTTCATCTTAATGAACATATGACATATCAAGGACAGTCATACTAGGACAAATATATTCATACTATATTTTAGATTACATAACTTGCCCCTCCCCTGTTCCATAGCCAAAGGCTTGATACCAGTGGAAAACATCATGTCCCTTGAATACGACGTTATTTTCAACCCTACAGACAGCAAACTTTAAATAGGGGCATCTTACCCTAACACCCCTACAACATCACCCCAGTTTGACAGATTAGACCATAATCTTATTTTCATATACCTCTTACCCTTCCAATTGGTGTCCCTCCAAACTCTAATGCAGCTTTGATCCCTAGACCTGCGGCTGCTCCACACTCGGCGATTAGATTGTGTCCACAGGCGTGGCCAATTTCGGGAAGAGCATCGTATTCACAGATTACACAAACATGGACGCCACCATCCGTCCCATATGTAGCCTTGAATGCTGTCTCTAAATGATAATTTCTTGTCACCTAGCATTTAAAAAAATATGTTTATAAGAACTGTCAATATAAAAATACAAATACTTTCAATGGAACAAAAAATGTTTTATACAACCAATTTCTACAAAGCATGTCCATAGATTTGAGTAAAGAACCTGCATGTATAATAGTATATTGAGAAATCTAGTGTGATAAACAAATGCATGCAAAGTACTATTGCATAATCTCTATAAAAAATAATGCAAGGTTATGGTCTATATTATACAAATAATGAATGGTTATGAGTTCAATAGTGCGAATATGTTCATGAGTTGAAAGATTAACATTCTATTCAACGAGGCGTCAGCCGAGTTGAATAGAATTAACGTTAATCTTTCAACGAATGAAAATATTTGCACTATTAAACGAATGAAAAACATTCATTATTTGTTTTATACAACATCGAAGAAGACCTAATAGAACGTTAATCAACAAATTATGCTTTACTCCTTATAAAGATAAATTACAGTTCGAGTCAAGCCTTCTCAATTACATGCAGATTGCCTTCGCGTCAGATACACGCAGGGATACGCGCACATGCAGCAGAGAGATACGCAGTCTGCATATAACCAAAAATGCACGGCGCATATAACCAAAAATGCACGACCGTGCAATATACCATCTATTGAATATCATGTGACCAACAATCGTCCAATCAAATGACAAGGATCCACGTAGGTGTTGTATAAAAATATATAATCCTCTCCTCTTTGTCTTCACCCTTCATTTCATTTGTTGAGATTTCATTGTTTTGTCAACAAAATTAAATAAGGTTAACACCATAAATTTATATGCTACGTACGTGCACTCAGACAGTTCAGTCTCATGATCTTATCTTTATTGTCCTAAATGAGTTACAAGATTGTTTTGATTGATCAATTGACTTTGCCAGAGTTTAAAGAGTGCCAATCACCTAAACAATCAAATTGTGTACAGCTAAAATGTGTAAAATCAAACTCGAAAAATTTACTCAGCATTCTAAGAGCAGTAGGTTAAGGATTACCGGTATGAGAAAAAAAGAATGACATATGACCTGATCGCAGAACGCAAGTATGAATTGGGGTCTATGCAGGCAATATAATTATGTGTGCAGTATGTAGCAGTGATTAGTCTACTCCAACTAGCTTCTTTCTTTCATTTTTTTTTTGTCATATACGAAAATATCATTTGTTGTTTTTCTCCTTAGTTTTTTCTCCCTAGGGGCATTATATACTCAAAATACATGTATATTATGGATAGTAAATTACTACAAGTCCTCTAAAAAAAATAAGGCCCTCCATTCAGTCACACATTTTGAAAAAAATGACCGTTTTAGCCATTACCTCAAACTACTTACCTCAAACCCTTCCTTCTCGAAGAAATCTGTGAGGACCTTGTGGGCATAGCGTTCTTCAAAAGCCAGCTCGGGATGGGACCAGATGTCCTGACTGAGGTCATTCAGGGTCGAAGCAGATTCATCAATCTTAGTCTTGACTGCCTCTCTCCTCTTACTCCACATGTCTGAGGTAGCCTCTGCTTGCATCGTGGTTTCTACATGTACAAATGTGGACATGGAGAAAAATTAGGAAGGGACACACTGACACTCTTAAACTATAAGCAACTCTGATAAAATGTCTATAAATGATCAATCGACCAGAAAGGCAATTAGACCTGTATTCCCAACCCAGCAAGATAAATCAGGGCTATAGGCACTAATTACAGCTGTCAAGGACACATGACATGGGTGTCTTAAATCTAAATCCAGACCCCAAAAATTACAAAAGCGTTGTTAAGCGCTTGGTGTTTACTTGCACTGGACTTGACATATTTCACTATAGATCTAGACTACATTGATTGATAAGTGCTTAGTCTACATGTACTAAGCAAGCGGCTATACCGTTTTTGTACTTCTTAATCATATGGCACGTACTCCTTGCAGCTGCAGCTGCAGTACTAGTACTACATCGTGTCAGCCATAAGCCATCACCACCACCCACTCCAGCAAAGCTACGTCAATGCCACCACCTACCAGTACCATTACCTGCATTATACACTCCAGCTTCAGCAAAGCAAAGCATAGAGTCAATTCATAACCACCTCCACCTACAAGTACCACCAGTACCATTACCCACTCCAGCAAAGCATAGAGAGTCAATGCTAATGCATACCGGTATTGACCTTTAAAGGTAAAGACCAGTTATGGTCATGCGAATTGTGAAAGAAACGTTGTGGAATCGATCAGAAAAGGTTGATCATCTAGCATCTAGCATCTGCAAGGTTCTGGAATCATCAAAATGATAAGAAATTTGGCCCATTCTTCGTAAAGTTACAAGCACTATACACAGAAAGATGTATATGGGACTACCCTATATCTCTCACAGTCCATGAGAGAAACAAATTTACCAAATATATGAATTAGTAGGCGGTTTCCCAGCAAATTTTTTATCATCATGTATTAGTCAAAACATATTCACATGATTGGTAATGAGAGCTTCCATTTCATTTTTTGAAATTGGGGCGTTTCCAATACTGGTCTTTACCTTTAACACTGAATACTTGCTGTGAGGCAGGTATTATACACAAATTTACACACCACACAATATTGCGTAGACTGCACACAATAGGACCGATTGTATTGATCGGCAAATTTTACACTAGACTTACAATATTAATTTTTTTTTTATTCTTTTTAACATCAGTAAGTTAAACAAGTTGTATTTTACTGTTATTTAGGTGTCATTAATTGTCACTAAAGTACAGATTTTGAGTGAAATTAGTTGAGTTTTGTACAGGGGTGTTTGAAATGTTGAGAATCAAATACCGCCAGGATAGTAATGCAGCGCGCTAATTGTGCCATACATTACCTCCCTGTCGAGTCGTTTGGTTTTGTTCCGGTAAAACATATGAACTTAGATCTATACCGACATGGGTCTGGAACTATTGCCGAAGTTGTCTTCAAATTGTAATTAGAAAGTGATACCTACTGATTGTATGATACTTTGCATTCGGAAATCGTGCAATTATCTTACCTTTGCGCAGTGTTGCGAAGTTGGTGGGTTGCTCTTTTGTCAGCTGTAACACTAGGCTACACAAGTACTCGCACGGCCAGCTAGCTAGCTAGCGGTCCCGGAAGTGGGCGGAGCTTCTTATGTTATTATTTTTCTCGCCTGCGAAAAGCTTGACGATCCCTGCCAGAATCCCTTCCCAGTGGTGGTGGTGAGACGACAGCATTCTCCATGAAACTCGGATAAATTATGGGAAAGATAAAAAGAACTAATTGACCCTACACAACACATTCCTTTTTGTCCCCTTTACTTTTCCGAATCTTGTAAATAAGTGATTCTCATGATTTGTTTTTTAACAAAATATAGTCTATAGGTCTACACTGTTGGTCATAATGGTGGAATAATTATTTTTACCCCAATTTATTGAATGATTTTGACAATGATTTATTCCTAATAGATCTGGATACTAATATACATTCTAGTGTATCTGAAATGTAAATGAAAATGAAGAAGACAGACAATACCAACAACAAAAAAGAAGCCAGTAACAAACATTGACCTGAAAGACATGAGAACAAATATATGGATTGAACATCTAGGCACAAAACTCTCAAATGTGAAGAGTTTGTCGATATAATCAACCCCCCTTCTCTTCTCTCTTGATCCTAAGCCTCTCTCTAGTATCTTCCTCCTCGATCTTCTCCCCCTCTCCTCTCTCTCTCTCTCTCTCTCTCTCTCTCTCTTCCTTTCATTTTTCTTCTATTCAGGCAATATTCAAATTTCACTTCTACCTATGTTTCTATAACTAGTCTGTGACAAAGGAAAATGATCTGAGTGACATCGTTACTAACAATGTACGTGTTTATCACATTAAGCTTGGAGAAGTTTTATGACATTACATCTTGACAAATTAATATTCATGAAAATCGAAATGCTCTCAGCAAGTTTATTTTCCGGTTTGCTAAGGGAAGAATACAAAGAAATAAAAGTTACTATTATGTGTACGGTATTGTTTTTTTTACAAGATTCATTTTAGTTTCAAGTTCAAGCTCTTTTTATTCAAAACCACACAAAATATTATAACCTTTTACAAAAAACAAAACTCGTGATAGTAGATCAATCAACATTTATTAACTTGATTGCATCATAAAATGAATGGTTTTAGCCTTTTAGGACCCCTTTAGAAGTGTTTAGCAGGCTTTTTAAATTTTTCATTAAAACATCCTTACGTGTCGATGCTAGATTGCATCAATTTCTATCGCGTGATCATATGCCTCAAACAACAAAATAATTCCTAATGGAGGCCACAATATGTTATTTTTGTATGCGTGTCGCTAATTCAATAGAATAATGTTTCCATTGATTACTTGCCACTCAATTTCTTCATTCAATATGTCAGGGTCATCAGGCTGACATTTGAAATAATATTTCACTGTAAGTAATTTTCATGATATAAGCCATGACGGCATCTTTAATTCTACTAGAAGAAGAACAAATTCATAAAAAGCTGATCACATACACGCACACACGCACACACACACACAGGGCTCGAATTACCCACCGGCAATCGGCAATTTGCCGCCATGCCCCTCTCACTGGCCGGAATGCCCTTTTCAAAATCAAACCGTTTACGGCCACAATATTTAATCCACAAAAGTTTTGCCGACATTAGAACTCTATATTTATAGTCATCGTAAGCCAACCCGACTTGTAATGTTCAAAAAGGTTTTGTTGCCCCTACGGAGCTCTAAAAACAATAATACTCGGCAAGGTTTTGTTGCCCCTCCGGAGCTCTAAAAACAATAATAGTCGGCAAGGTTTTGTTGCCCCTCCGGAGCTCTAAAAACATAATAGTCGGCAAGGTTTTGTTGCCCCTCCGGAGCTCTAAAAACAATAATAGTCGGCAAGGTTTTGCTGCCCCTCCGGAGCTCTAAAAACAATAATAGTCGGCAAGGTTTTGTTGCCCCTCCGGAGCTCTAAAAACAATAATAGTTGGCAAGGATTTGTTGCCCCTCCGGAGCTCTAAAAACAATGATAGTCGACAAGGTTTTGTTGCCACTCCGGAGCTCTAAAAACAAAGATAGTCGGCAAGGTTTTGTTGCCCCTCCGCAGCTCTAAAAACATTGATATTCGGCAAGGTTTTGTTGCCCCTCCGCAGCTCTAAAAACATTAATAGTCGGCAAGGTTTTGTTGCCCCTCCGGAGCTCTAAAAACAATAATAGTCGGCAAGGTTTTGTTGCCCCTCTGGGGCTCTAAAAACAATAATAGTCGGCAAGGTTTTGTTGCCCCTTCGGAGCTCTAAAAACAATAATAGTCGGCAAGGTTTTGTTGCCCCTCTGGAGCTCTAAAAACAATAATAGTCGGCAAGGTTTTGTTGCCCCTCCCGAGCTCTAAATACAATGATAGTCGGCAAGGTTTTGTTGCCCCTTCGGAGCTCTAAAAACAATAATAGTCGGCAAGGTTTTGTTACCCCTCCGGAGCTCTAAAAACAATAATAGTCGGCAAGGTTTTGTTGCCCCTCCGGAGCTCTAAAAACAATGATAGTCGGCAAGGTTTTGTTGCCCCTCTGGAGCTCTAAAAACAATAATAGTCGGCAAGGTTTTGTTGCGCCTTCGGAGCTCTAAAAACAATAATAGTCGGCAAGGTTTTGTTGCCCCTCTGGAGCTCTAAAAACAATAATAGTCGGCAAGGTTTTGTTGCCCCTCCCGAGCTCTAAATACAATGATAGTCGGCAAGGTTTTGTTGCCCCTTCGGAGCTCTAAAAACAATAATAGTCGGCAAGGTTTTGTTACCCCTCCGGAGCTCTAAAAACAATAATAGTCGGCAAGGTTTTGTTGCCCCTCCGGAGCTCTAAAAACAATGATAGTCGGAAAGGTTTTGTTGCCCCTCCGGAGCTCTAAAAACAATGATAGTCGGCAAGGTTTTGTTGCCCCTTCGGAGCTCTAAAAACAATAATAGTCGGCAAGGATTTGTTACACCTCCTGAGCTCTAAAAACAATAATAGTCGGCAAGGTTTTGTTGCCCCTCCGGAGCTCTAAAAACAATGATAGTCGGCAAGGTTTTGTTGCCCCTCCGGAGCTCTAAAAACAATAATAGTCGACAAGGTTTTGTTGCCCCTCCGGAGCTCTAAAAACAATAATAGTCGGCAAGGTTTTGTTGCCCCTCCGGAGCTCTAAAAACAATGATAGTCGACAAGGTTTTGTTGCCCATCCGGAGCTCTAAAAACAATGATAGTCGACAAGGTTTTGTTGCCCCTCCGGAGCTCTAAAAACAAAGATAGTCGGCAAGGTTTTGTTGCCCCTCCGGAGCTCTAAAAACAATGATAGTCGGCAAGGTTTTGTTGCCCCTCCGGAGCTCTAAACACAATGATAGTCGACAAGGTTTTGTTGCCCCTCCGGAGCTCTAAAAACAATGATAGTCGACAAGGTTTTGTTGCCCCTCCGGAGCTCTAAAAACAAAGATAGTCGGCAAGGTTTTGTTGCCCCTCCGGAGCTCTAAAAACAACGATAGTCGGCAAGGTTTTGTTGCCCCTCCGGAGCTCTAAAAACAAAGATAGTCGGCAAGGTTTTGTTGCCCCTCCGGAGCTCTAAAAACAATGATAGTCGGCAAGGTTTTGTTGCCCCTCCGCAGCTCTAAAAACAATAATAGTCGGCAAGGTTTTGCCCCTCCAGAGCTTTAAAAACAATTATTACTGGAAGGTTTTGTTGCCCCTCCGCAGCTCTAAAAACAATAATAGTCGGCAAGGTTTTGCCCCTCCAGAGCTTTAAAAACAATTATTACTGGAAGGTTTTGTTGCCCCTCCGCAGCTCTAAAAACAATAATAGTCGGCAAGGTTTTGCCCCTCCAGAGCTTTAAAAACAATTATTATTGGAAGGTTTTGTTGCCCCTACGGAGCTCTAAAAACAATAATAGTCGGCAAGGTTTTGCCTCTCCGGAGCTCTAAAAACAATGATAGTCGGCAAGGTTTTGTTGCCCCTCCGGAGCTCTAAAATCAATAATAGTCGGCAAGGTTTTGTTGCCCCTCCGGAGCTCTAAAAACAATAATTACCGGAAGGTTTTGTTGCCCCTCTGGAGCTCTAAAAACAATAATAGTCGGCAAGGTTTTGTTGCCCCTCCGGAGCTCTAAAAACAATAATTACCGGAAGGTTTTGTTGCCCCTACGGAGCTCTAAAAACAATAATAGTCGGCAAGGTTTTGTTGCCCCTCCGGAGCTCTAAAAACAATAATAGTCGGCAAGGTTTTGTTGCCCCTCCGGAGCTCTGAAAACAATAATAGTCGGCAAGGTTTTGCCCCTCTGGAGCTCTAAAAACAATAATAGTCGGCAAGGTTTTGCCTTTCCGGAGCTCTAAAAACAATAATTACCGGAAGGTTTTGTTGCCCCTCCGGAGCTCTAAAACAATAATTACCGGAAGGTTTTGTTGCCCCTACGGAGCTCTAAAAACAATAATAGTCGGCAAGGTTTTGTTGCCCCTACGGAGATCTAAAAACAATACGAATCGGCAAGGTTTTTGTGCCCCTACGGAGATCTAAAAACAATAATTATCAGCAAGGCTTTGTTGCCCTACGGAGATCTAAAACAATGATAATCGGCAAGACTTTGTTGCCCCTACGGAGATCTAAAAACAATAATTATTGGCGAGACTTAATTGCCACTATGGAACTCCTAAATTAATTGGTGGGACTTAATTGCCGATACGGAGATATGAAAGAATGTCTTCATCCAAATGACTGAAACGTTTGGCACAAAAACCGTATGACTCAGGCTTAGTTTAATACCGGTAGTCGAGATCGAGACGAATCGTCTTCTTTCCCTAATAATTTATTAAAAACGTCTAAGCTTCCGCGCTTCCCTTGGAATTCAGAAAAGGATAAAGAGTCAAGAACGGTACAACGAATCGTCTTCTTTCTCTAATAATTCAATGAAACGTCAAAGGGGGAAACTCCCCACTCCCTCCAGCTCTCCCCCCCCCCCCCATTTTTTTTTTTGAAAAGCATTTTAAAGAGAAATAGAAAGAAAGAGAGCAAGAAAGAAAAAATAGTTAACTACCAGTTTCTCAACAAAATAAGGTATCAAAAATTGCTCATCTGACCGTAATTAAACGCCTAAAACCCCTGAGCTTCCGTGGGCTCTGCCC